TTATTTCATTTGGTTGAATCCTTCTAGGCAATTTGTGGATTTTTCAGAACAATGGCCTATGATCACTTCCTAACTTCTAGATTGAATTGTCTTAGCAGGACTAACCGGGCAAGTTCTAGTTTTGCACAAAACTGTTTGAACAGTCAATGATTCTCACCCACTCTTTTTACATAGTTTAATTATCAGATTATCAGATTACCCAGTTCAAGTTTCAGATCTAGTCATGTTATAAGGTCGGTTGTTACTATGTCATACTCAGAGCCAACACAATCAGCAACTCGTAGCCTACTTCTAGCATACAACCCAGAATCTGTCGGGTATCATTTTTATAAGCCATCATGCTTCATTCTCTATCATGCTTCTACATATACAATCCTAAGACATGCCGGTTCAACAAAAATTAAACAGTCTCTTGGGGGAAAAGAACACAGGCAAGAAAACCGCAAAAGAGGATTCATGAGTTGGGTTACTCAGACTTCACCCTATCACTCACAATCCATTTACCCCACCCCCAACTAAATTAGATGCAATTGTCCACAATGCATACATAGACAGTAAAAGAGAATGGATTTGAGTGAAGCAAAGCTGTGGCGCAAAGCGTCGGCGAATAATCAACAAGCAGGGGGTCGGTTTCCCGAAGCCCTCTGGAACATCAGTGGGGGCACCCTCAGTAGTGCCCATCTCAGCAATCCCAGCACCCTCAGTAGTGCTCTCTATCAACTGCTCCGCACCATCAGTGGTGCTCGCAACGCCCCTCACAATAGGCTGAACCTCTGCAACTGGGGCAGAGCTTGATGCCCCTGCAGCTCTCTCACGCACCCTCTGCTGGCGCAACTCTTCGTCTGTAATCGAAGCCCTCCTAGCCTCATTTTCCTGCCGACGCTGTCTTTTCTGAGCCTTCTCTTCCTCTGTGCGATGAGAACGGTGCCGCTTACCCTTGGCATGTGTTGGTGCAGGCCCCTCCTCGGCGATGCCACTGAATAGAGCATCTAGCACTGTATCATCAGCCAGCGCAGTA